TGTTGTTTATTGATTTGTACCGCAATTATTTAATCGATTAATTTAAATATATCGTCTTTCAAATACGTCATTTGAGCAAGCATTGAACTTAACTCCACAAAGTATATGACATTCGAGTTTCAATCGACTGAGAAGCATGGTGCGAAGCTATACAAATGTCAATTATCGAAAAAATTGATTTATCATAAAACTCTATTCCTTAAAAGATATTTACATTTTACTGGAATTGCAGTATTTTTTTATCATTGTAAATCAAAAAGGGAACGTTTCTATTAAAAAGCTAATCAAAGTCAAAATGAAACTAAAAAGTAACCATTGCGAAATTTATTGCTAAGAGAACTCAAATAACAGATATCAACATGTTTCTAATGAAGATTATCCATTAATGGCTTGACCTTTTGCAAGTTTTTTTTTAATACTTTCCCAGATGTATGCACCAAATGTCGTTATTTTCCGAGCTTTCGTGGTCGAGATCATTGTGACAGAATATGACAACGTTTGATGTATACGTCGACAGAAACCTAAAAAATAAACTTCTGAAGATCTAGATAAATGCCATGTTTTGTACTTCAATAAAATCGGCACGAAAATGTCACTGTCAATACTTAGGAACAAGTGATTTTATCTATTACAATTTTGGATATAGCTGATGATAGATAATGAGTCAGAGATAAACAATCAATCGATACTATTCGTTAGATATATGCCGATTCGTATTAGCAGAGTTTTCTTAGTAGCGAGTTTCAGCCTGGCTACCTTTTGACTTTGATGATTTGATCGAAATTTAATGTTTCTCACTGTAACGATGGAAACAAACATTTAATTTCAACAGACTAAAAACTACTTCTCTGAGAGAAACCATTATCCGTCTTTTTTGTCTGATCCCGATTTTTCCACTAATCAATATTCGAGGCTTGGCACCATGTGGCGGAGTTGAGTGAAACTCGAACGGTATCTAATCTTTAGTAAATTTTTAATTACTAATTACTAATCGGTAACCAAGAGCATCTGAGTACGGAGAAAATGTTAATCGTGTAAAGGACAGTAATATTTTAATTGATCTGTGACTAAAATCATAGAAAAACAATCTTAATTATTATTGTCCTTTGAATACTGGTCACAATCCAATGCTTTAGCTTTTTCCGTTCCTCAAAATAAATAATAGTAAATAATTCATCTTATACTTATTTTATTAAACCGAGCTGATTATGTAAAAATTTGAGTAAAGAATTTTTTCGTAATCAATTGAAAATTATTGGACAATAACCAGTAAATGTATATGATAGGATTCCACCTAAATATTTTAGAGTAGCTAAGCGAAGTAGACTTGATCCAGTACATAATTTGTTTATACATCTATAAAAATCGATAATTATTCTAAAGTTTCATATAATGGAAAATATGATGCAAGATTTTACACTTGAACGCTAGAGACCTTTATTCAGAAGAATTATCAGTAAAAAAACGAGCATTAGCGACATGACAAGAAAAATTTATCGATTTTCATGTCATGTAGTTTTTAGTTGAAAAAAACTAACTTGAGACAGCATTTTTGCAAAATAACTAGTACATTCTGTAGAAATATTGTCCCGGTGTAGTTAGAGAGTTATTTCCTAATTATTTTCTCATTAATAATCCGATAAAATAGCCAACATTTTTACATATGTCTATATTAATAGATATTGCTAAGAAAAATAACCCTTACAAATAGCCTAACTCGAATGAAAGATGAACACATCGGGTTTTGCCTGAAATGACTCATTTAAGAAATGTCAGAAGCGCAAATTTCGAGTGATTTTTGTTTCTCATTCATTTATATATGGTTTGGTAGGATTTGACAAACTCATCACGTATATACAGTTTTTATCTCGATTTGCTCATCTTCTGAGTGAAACAAATATTAAAAACTCCAATGACTGAAAACATAGCAATGGTAATTGTACACTTGGTTTTTTTTAAACAGAAATTGCCAAATTTTGATTACGTTAATTTTTCAAGCTTTATAAAAACATTTTATTCTGATTCAACATAAAAGTCTGAGTAGAAAAATGTTGTTTAATTAGATTTAGAACTAAAAAGTTTAAAAAGATCGTATGGAATATCGATAGTTTTGACATGCCTCATAACAGATATTTGTGCATATGCTTGTCAATCTATCTAGTTTTTTTGTTATAAGAAACAGAAGCAAGTTTCTGATCTGATGAAAGTTGCTAGGTCATGAGCTTCAAAAGCACTTATTTAACTGTTTCTCTAAACTCTCTTTTATTATTGAGAAAAATAAATTTATTTTCATGCTTGGCGATAAGATTAGGTGAAAAGATGAAAAATATGTTCGTCTTTAGCAACTTTTATCATCATAATTCAGTGGAAAAGAGGCCATCCATAGAGGCCATCCAGGTAAAAATCTCAATTTTTGAACCTTTCCTTCTCCTGCACGTGCAATTTCTAAAGTTTTTTTTTAGAAAGAGTCAGTATGTTCTAATAGTGTGCTTTTTGTATCAAGTGACTTAAATACATGATTTATTCGTAGATGATGGGCCATAGAATTTTTATTTTCAAAATGCTACTCAAAGTCATTTTAACTGGAAAATTTCGTGAAAAATGCTTAAAAAAAGAAGACAAAAATCGTAATCAGTGTTTTTCATGGACGTCCATAATTAATGGTTCCAAATTAAAAAAGATAGTATGTTCACAATTACTGTCAAACACTGCACCAAATCATATATGTTCCAGTTAAAACTGTTTTCGATGAAAAATATACCTTTGGTCCTCTCAAGTCTATTTTTCTAAAATTTATCCCTGGCTTTTCAACGGTGAGTTTTTCACGGAATAAAAGATTTTTAAAACGTATATAATTCGATGCAGTGTTTGATGGTCATTACAAATAAGGTATCTATTTTGCTTTTTGACTGAACCATGATCATAAAGGTGATGAAAACGAACATATTTTTCATCTTTTCACCTAATCTTATCGCCAAGCATGAAAATAAATTCATATCTCTCAATAATAAAAGAAAGTTTAGAAAAAAAAACTAGATAGTGCTTTTGGAGCTCACGACATGGCAACTCTCATCAGATAAGACACTTACTTCTATCTCTTTTAACAAAAAAAAACTAGATAGATTGACAAGAATATGCACAGATATCTGTTATGAGGCATATCAAAGCTATCGATATTCTATACGATCTTTTTAAAATTATTAGTTCTAAACCTAATTAAACAACATTTTTCTACTCAGACTTTTATGTTGAATCAGAATAAAATGTTTTTATAAAGATTGAAAAGTTAATGTAATCAAAATTTGGCAATTTCTGTTTAAAAAAATACCAAGTGTACAATTACCATTGCTATGTTTTCAGTCATTGGAGTTTTTAATTTTTATTTCATTCAGAGGATGAGCAAATCGAAATAAAAACTGTATATACGTGATGAGTTCGTCAAATCCTATCAAACCATATATAAATGAATGAGAAACAAAAATCATTCGAATTTTGTACTTCCGTCATCTTACTCTTCTGAATAGTATAGGTTTATTTGTTAATGAATTTTTTTAGTACAACTTCTTCAGCTATTACGAATGTGATGTCATTTTATATCAACACTTATGGATAACTTTTCGTTACACATGATAACACACAATCAACAAGATTGTCTATATATATGCATGCTTCATTGGTTAGTTGTCTGTTGTTCTCGGTGCTTTTCCCGACATAATCAATAATTTTCAACTTTATTTACGCATATTAAATAGCCAAGAGATTTACAATCTTGCTAATCCTTAAAATGATAGAATCAAAATGCATGTTAATAATTGTTAATAAGAATTGTAATCTACTCAATTGAATATTACTAATTATTCTCTTTTGATTTTTGAAGAAAAAAACATGTCTATGATGAAAGGAAGAAACTAGAGAGTCGAAAAAAATGACAATAATATTAAGTGATTTTTCTTTTTTTATCATACCGATCAAGTTCAACTTCCTCTACTTCTTTTTAATAGTTATCTTCGATCGGAAACGAACTTAGGCTTCATGTTCATTTCCAGTCGAGTGAACTGAACCTGATGACGGCGGGCATCCTTTCACTTAAAAGCGTTTCCTGTGCTTATCAAATAAGAGCACACAAAGTAATTGATTTCTCTATATTCTTGACCTTCACCGGTCGGTTTCTTTTTTTCTTCTCTTTCTCTTTCCTTTGTACTCATCATAATAGTAAATCTTTTTTTTCCCATGTTCTACTAATCACATACACCTTTATGTGTTCTTGTTCTACTTCATAATTAGTTGAATAAACAACATCAAACAACTGATGAAAAATGAGAATATATCACATAGTGTTAAATTAAAATTTTACTCCGCCTTTTTATTGTTCGATTTGAGCAGATGTGTCTGTATATAGAGGTAAAAAATAATTCCTTAAATCATACCGACTCGATCTCAATACAAATTCTAGTTCATTTTATTGAGATATTAAAGAAGAAAGCGAAAGAAAAGACGAAATCTCTTGAAAATTAATTCAGACGTATAATGAAACCAAACTGCAAATATTTTCAAATAAATATATATATATACTATGCAAATACTTGTAGTCAATGTTCATGTCAAAGTTGAACTTCATCTAGGACACAAACATTAATATGTATACATCCATTTATTTGTTTATTCGATAAGTAAAGATGAGCATCACGCGATAAACAAAAAAAATCTTTTCAATTGTAAGTCTAACAACGTGTTATAAATGTGATGAAAACGATTATTATGGTAGTATATTTGCTATGTATGCCTATATCGTTATTCAGGTAGATGATGATTGTACGATACGTGAAGAAAAAGAAAAAATGAAAGTAACCAATCAATATCAATGTGTCTCCTCACTTTTATTTTTTTTTATCGTTCGTTCGTTCATTTCTATTCAAACATATAAAATCTTCATCATCAACATTCATTGATACGCATATTCTTGTCTCGATTTGTCTTCTTCATCGATTATCTTAACATAAATGACACGAACTTCATCAAAAAAACTAAATATGACAAAAATGGAATTGAAAAAATTAAAATCCATTTTACCAACATTAAAACAAAAGCCAACATCAACACCAATGGAAATTGTTCTAGAAACAATACGTTATATTCGACAATTAGAAGATCAATTAATTGATCGATTTCAAATGGATATATCTAATTCAACTTCTCAATCATCATTATTTGATTTATCAACATTATCTACAGATTCTTCATCATTATCAACATCAGTTCCATTACAAGATATTGGAAATAGTAACTAAAAATTATTCGAATACAGTTTCATGTGTTTATGTATATAGATTTCTCTTTTTCGAATACATTTGTTATGGAAGGATACATAGTCCTCTTTTTTTTTTGATGTATTATTTGATTATGGTGGAAAGAAAGTTACTTTGAAGAATCCGACATAGTTACATAAGAAAACTATATCTGATTGTTCATGTAAATGAAGGTGATGATTGTCACCTTATGTGAATTGTATCTTGTTTTAGATTTCTTTTCTTATGATAATAAAAATGAAACAATCTGTTGATACATAATCATCAAACGGGAAACAAAAAAAGAAAAAGGAAATGATTACCGATTGAGTTCAATAAAAAAAGATTTTTTTTTTTTTCTTTATTAAATAAAGAATTTGTATGAGAGCGGAACAAATATTCTATTCAATGAGTTCAGTGATAATGTTTATGACACTTTACTACAAAGAAAGAATAATAACCATTTCGCTTGATTTATACAATAGATCGCTATTTTCCCACCGTTTCGCTCTAATTCATATATATTTGAACAGCATGAAACTTGTATACATTCAGGTGCTAATCATCATCATTATTATATTTATGTGTGTGTGTATTGTATATACCAGCATATTTCTCTATTCTTTTCGCTTAAGTTGTATACTATCATGTGTTTTTTCTATTGAAAGGAAAAGAGAGATTGATTATTCTCCCATTCTTAACATTTTGAAGGAAGGTAAATGAATACTTGACGAAAAAAATGAGTAATTTAGAATTGATATATGGAGTTGTATTAACCAGTTATTGTTTGATAATGGTAATGATGTTCGGAAGGAGGAGGAGGACGACAACGAAAATTCCAATAAAGTTCATACCTGATGGTATGCAGTGAACGAAAAAAAAATGAACGGATGCACTTATTCGACATGACAATCTACTTGAACATGTAAATCGATGAAAAGGTCATCGTCTAATTACTTTTTCGCATGAAAATCATCATTAAATATTTTTTGTCAAAGTATGACTATGAATAATGTCGAAAATTATTAACGTAGTTGAAACACTGTTATAGTTATTTAATGTCATTTTTTTTTCTGATCATTCTGTTGTCATATTCAATCAAAAATTTTAATAACGAATATACAAAATATGATGAAACTAGAGAACAAACACATTCCCAAACAGAACTAATCGTTTATCAAATTTTAAAACTTGTCAAAAAAGGTTCCTGTTCTAGTAAATATACTCATTAAATGAATACTCACGGATTGACAGTATTTGTGTTATCATCTATGTATCTGAGTATAACAATTGATCACTTGCCGATGTAGTACAGAATGTTTCGTGAGTACTCCTATAAAGTTCTTGTGTATTCTAGTGTTTTATGTGGAATACTCATGAGCCTTTATTCTGTTCAGTATTGTTGTATTGTATTTTATTTAGATATAAAACTACGTACATACTTATTTGAGAACAAAATGAATATGAAAATGACAGCTATCCTTTTATCTTTACACTTTTTCAAAAAACAAATAATAGTGCTAGAATAGTCTTCTTTGTTAGAGAAGCAAGTGGAACATTTCATTATTTATATGCCACGATATGAAGATTTCATTTAGCTGTTTACCCTCAGATAAAACGAAACATAAAATCTCCTTTGCATAAGTATCCGATACAGTGATATGACCCTTGATGAGATTAAAAAGATGAATGAGATGCAAATTTTGCAGCATTCCATTTGAATAGTTTGTAGAGCAATCATCTTGATAAATTCACATAGCTTTGTTATAGTTTCATATAGAGTATTTATTGAGACTGTTAAATCAAGTATAAATGATGATTAAAGATACAAAGCATGATTTTTATTGCAACAGAAAAAAAAGATAAAGCTGAACGAAGTACTTAACAATCAGAGCACTAGTTACTAGCAGAATCTTCATCATTGATTAGTAACCGTATCTAAATTCGCTGTTTCGGACTTAAACTTCATCTTGTAAATCTTTTCATTATATGAAAGTATTCTAGTCTCAAACAGAGTTTGTGATAGATAAGATTTTTAAACACAGCAAAGCCTTTTCAAAAGTACAAACGATAAAAATGCCTTTGAAGATTAGATTTTATTCATATAACATCAAACGTATATGAGACCAAGAAGTTCATTTAGGGTACATGAAGAAGAAGACGAAGAAGAAATGACAGTACCGGTAACCCGGTGTAGGTGAAGAAAAAAACAGAGTTATCGTAAATGAAATAAAAAACTACACACGCACTAAAACACGAAAGTGAAAAGCAAAGAAGAAAACACAAAAAGATGAAACACAAACAAAAATACAAAACACGAAAAAGTAAGAAAAAAAATCGGACAAGACAAAACACAATAATTGCATCAACAAACATTTAGGACTGTACATACATATACACATAAACTGTTCACGATTGAATCATGTTTGTCAGACAGTTACCATCTGTAAATGATTTACTGTATTATCCATCGGAATGTTATCTCTAAACCACAAGCGAATCTAGTTTCAGTAACCGTCTTCATACCTTACAGCTAATCGTGTGCAGACTTTAGTCACTATTTTCCAACGTCTTGTTCTTCAGAAACAATTTAGCATATGCTTTCACATGTGCTGTGGCACCTTGTGTCTTCAACAACCTGCCACAGTTTTCGTTAGGACAAATATATTCATTTGTATTATTTTTTTATATTAGTTCAATTATTTTTACTTTTCGTATGAAATCACCGTGTGTATCTGTAACCGTTTTATTTAAACCAAAATCGCCGATATACGTTAAAACCACGTCGATTTTTACAAATCTTTCCACACAGCGTACACATCTTATCGTCAGATCTAGTGGAAGAGAGAGCTAGAGAAAGCGCTGCTCTATTTTGCTTAGTCAGCTGAGATGATTCTTCCTTAGCCCGTCGTTTGACTGCTCAGCATATGCGGCTAACGATCTCCCGATTTGCTTCTTTATCATGAAAGCCTGGCAGTTAAACTACAAACTAATTCTAGACTTTAAGTACATGACAAAGTAGATGAAACATTTCTCTACAAAATGGGAAGTGTGTCGACTTCGGAAGTTGAATCGTTATGAAGGTAGAGCTGTTTTATGAAGGGCTCCAAAAATCGATTTTGGCGCTATGTGAAAAGTTATTTTAAAAGCCTGAAGACAATAGAGCAAATATCTGAAAAGTATAACAATTTCTAGAGATTTTGTGCTCTACAGTATGTAATAGTTTTCAAAGTTTGAAGCCATTTCAATTAATTTTTATTAGCTGAAGAAAATTACAAAAAACGATAACTCAATCACATTTTTCGCCGTTTTTAGTGAGTGCGTTACTGTTTTTGGTAGTTTTCTTTACCTAATAAAAGTTAATTGAGATGTTTTCGAACTTTGAAAACTATTACATACTGTAGAGCACAAAAACTCTAGAAATTGTTATACTTTTCAGATATTTGCTCTATCGTCTTTAGGCTTTTACAATAACTTTTCACATAGCGTCAGAATCGATTTTTTGGAACCCTTCGTCAAATAGCTCTACCTTCATAACGATTTAACTTTAGAAGTCGACACACCTTTTATTTTGTAGAGAAATATTTAATCTACTTGTTCATGAACTTAAAATCTAAAATTAGTTTCTGGTTTTCTTTCAAGGCTTTCATGAAAAAGATCAAAATTGAGAGACTGTTAGCTGGACAAGCTAATATGTTCTCTTCAAGTATTTCGTCAAATATATTGAAAACGTTTATAATCAAAATTAGTTGTTTTCTAAAGGTTAATGTTTCCTACTTATTTTTTGTCTACAGATATACAGTGCACTAAACTGATAAATGATTAGTCTTATCATCTCATTGAGATCTAAATCTTTCTTTTAGCTTTTTATGAAGACAGTCTTCTATTTGTTTTAAAATAGCATAATAATATCCGTATGTAAAAAAGGACACCGCTTCTGACAAGTAGTCTGGAAAAAATGATAGATAGTTCAGACAGAGAAAAACACTTGGCAGGCACAACAGGCTAACGAGTCTAGAGTCTGCCTTGAGCTGATCACGCTTGTAAGAAGTACGCTTATTTGGAATTCTACTATGTACGGCACTCATATGGGTGCCTTCTCAATCTTCCACGGCATTTAGCCACTAGGATTGAAAAGTCTATAGTTTTATTTTATTTTATGGAATATAATTGGACTTAAGGATGTATCAGTGTCAGTATACTGAAAATGGACAGTACTGAAACACCGACAATGATCTTGTCGAGCACACCGAAACACTTATACCGATGCCAATGGCGACACCGACACATCAACACTGATTACTCTGAAAATGCTGACATACTGACTTCACTGAACTTGACTCAAGATAGACAAATCGGTACTTCGAGTACTTAAATCTACTTCAAGGTACTCGATAGTTACCGAAACGTTAGAAATAGACGGAATACTTCGAAAAGCAAGATGTCGAAATAGGAACATGAGAGTGTTGGTGAGATTTAGAGTGTCAACAGGTTAGAGGGATGCTAACAATATAGCAGAAATTAGTGCTTTTGGTCTGGAACTTTTCTTTTTCGACGTTTTCATATTTCGACATCTTGCTTTTCGAAGTATTTCGTCTATTTCTAACGTTTCGGTAACTATCGAGTACCTTGAAGTAGATTTAAGTACTCGAAGTACCGATTTGTCTCTTTTGAGTCAAGTTCAGTGGAGTCAGTATGTCAGCATTTTCAGAGTAATATGTGTCGGTGTTTTCAGTGTGATCAGTGTCAGTATTTCAGTAGACACACTGACACTGATACATACCTGCTTGGACCAGTAACTCTCGGAGCCTTTCTTATTTTTTCTCTTTAGACAACGATGTCAAATAATACGACTATTTATACTTTTTTAATCATTAACTGAACAATTAGAAACACATAGACAAGTTATTTTTTTTTATTATGTCGGGCGAAACTTTTCTCCGTCCCATTTTCAGACAACAGAGAGTGATGAGAACGAACAGAACAGTGGATTGATTCAAATA